AGAGAGAGAGAGAGAGAGAGAGAGAGAGAGAGAGAGAGAGAGAGAGAGAGAGAGAGAGAGAGAGAGAGATGAGCGATACAAGTTTGGTTGTCACATACCTGTGAAGTGTTGTGCTGTCCCGTGGAGAAGAAGAGTGCGGCCATAGCCGCGGAGCTTGGACACGGAGGAGACGAAGGGAGACGGAGTAGAGAAGGAGGAAGGAGGAGACATCGAGGTGGAAGATAGACATAGCTGAGGGTGAAAAAAAAAAAAAAAAAAAAGAGAAACAGCGAGAAGGAAGGAGGGCGACGAAGGGGAGAAAGAGAGTGAAGGTTGGTGAGAGAGAAGGAGCCGACAGCCAGAGCTGACCAGAGGGTTGACCAAGCGTTGACCAGAGGGTTGACCGGGCGCTGATTGGAGGGTTGACCGGGGTGTTGACCGAGGGTTGTCCGCGTTGACCAAGGCGTTGACCGGAGCTGTTGACCAAGACTTTGACCAAGCTGGAGTTGGTAACATCTCGCCAAGCCCTTAGCCTATCCCCTCGCCCTATGGATGTGCACTCACCCTGCAGTACTTGCTGAGTCTGAGTCTGTCTGTCCCTTCTTTCTGCATTGAGTCCCTTCTGTCCTAAGTGGTAGTACTCTGTGGATGAAGGATAGGGCCTGGATGACGAAACCCCTACCTGACCTTGTAGAGCTAATACCGTGTCTAATCTCACTGTCCCGGAGGCCTAACCCTCCCAAAGACCGGTGCTGACCAGCGGGGCTCGGATTGGGTGTGACACGGTGGGCTTGAACGGCGGAGTTGGGGCTGACACACCAAGCAGTCTTAAGTGTTGAGGGCCTTGTTGACCCAAACCCCTACCGGACCAAGTAAGGCTAAAGACTGTGTCTGACGACTCGACTGTCCCGGAGGACACGAACCCTCCCAAGGACCGGTACAGACCGGCGGGCTGCTCGGTGTGGCACGGTAGGCCCGAAAGGCTGAGTTGCGGGCTATGCAGCAGGCAGGACCAAGCTGATCACGTCGTGCTGACTGCGACGTTAAGGAATTCCTGAGGAATTACGGGGGATCTCCTTAAATGCCTCCTGATCAGCCACTGGTTCAGTAGTGACAGCCATAGTGTAGGTCTAGGCTAGCGACCATAGCTGACAGGGTTCTATACGAACCCTGTGGTCCTTAGAGAGTCTGTTAGTGAGTTTGCGGGTAGGTCTACGTGGTGAGGAGTGGGACTATCCTGTCGTGCACCTATCACCATGGAGGATTACCCGATGTACGGGTTGCTCGTGCGGTTCTCCCTTTGGGGGACCCTTTGGCATTTCATTTTCCCATTGGGATTCTGGAACACGTTTTCGTGTGGGGTAGAGACACGTACGGGGACGGGTACCACGCCCTACATGGCCGAGCAGGAAGCAAAGGCCGCCGCCATCTTCAAAGAGAGGAGAGAGAAGAAGGAGGCCAAGAAGAAGGCCTTGCTGGAGGCGCAAGCGGCGAAGTTGAAAAATATAGAGGAGGAGATGGTTAGAGAGAATGAGAGGCTGAAGAAAGAAGAAGAAGCGAAGTTAAAAGAAGTGGAAGAGGAAGAAGAAAAAGAAGTAGAAGAGGAGCCACTGGAGAGAGGAAGAAGAGGAAACAGAGGGGAGTCTAGTGAGACAAAGGAAGACTTGATGGAGAAGAAGATTTTAGAGTCGGTTGCAGGACTGACCCTGGGAGAGGATGAGGAGGCGTTAATGTATGTGCCCAGGGACGAGCAGGAGGCGGTCGTGCGAGAGTGGGAAGCTGAAGGACACCCACTCAAGCGGCGAGTGCTAGAAGATGAGAAGAGGATGGAGTGGAAGTTCCGCCTCACTTGGGAGAGGAAGAGGAGAATGGAGGCGGCAACAGAGGTGGCGAAGGAGTTGGAAGAGATTCGGAAGCAGAGGGATAAAATGGCGGTCCAAGTAGATTTATTGGGGAAGGTAAAGATCGTGGCTAAGAACGTGGAACGCCTGGCAAAGGTCGAGGAGGGGCAGCTTTTATTTGGTAGAGGCCAGGACATTGCAGTGCATTCAATACGGTCGGGACTTAGGGACTTTGCTCGGGAGTTGGCCATGCAGGTGGGCTCGCATGTGACCGCCCGCCTCGAGGGCACTGAACGATACTGTGCTGGTGCCATTGAGGGCACCAAGCTGACTGCCCCAAAGGAAGAAGAAGCACGTCCCCGTAGAGAGCTGGTCAAAGTTGAGTTTCCTGATTCCTATAGTGGAAAGAAGGAAGAGAACCTTGACAATAAGGAGGCCAACGTTAAAACGTACGTGCATCTGCAGAAGGTGTCCCCCGATGAGCAGGTCCTAATCGCCATCCATGCGTTAAAGGAAGAAGCCGCCAGTTTTGCACGCTCCTTAGTCCGCGCTGCTAATTGCAGCGACGATGTGGTTGCCTACTCTGCCTTTACCCCCCTCGCTTACTTTCTTAAGTTGCTGCGCGAACGATTTGCAGATGTCTCGCGCAGTGTCAGAGCCTCTGATCGATTGCAGACTATCCACTCTCGTCAGTGGAGGAGTGCCAAGGCACTCAAGGGAGTAATGGACGAGCTAGTGGCTGTTCCTGACCATGGGGTCACAGAGACCCAACTGGTCAACCTCTTCTACCGGGCTATGCCCGAGTCGTTGCGTGGGCACTTCTTGAGAAGAGCCAGCAACCCACCATAACCTACGACGCATTGAGTAGGGAAGTGGTGGTGTTTGAAGCAAAGTCTGTGTCAGTTTCCACTTTCTGGCACAAGGACATGGATAAGGGAAAGAAGTGGAAAGGTTGCACTATCTCAGGGCAAGTGAAGACAAAGGATAACCTGGTCCTTACTTTAGACGAGGGTAGTGTCGACGAGATCCCCTACGATCAGATAGAGTGGGGGCTCGAGGAAGATAACAGTAGCAGTAGTCACGGGAGGACCTACGTTGCTGTCGCGGCTGGAGGGAGGCCGCAAGGAGGAGGACGAGGCCAGGGCCAAGGGGGCCGGGCCTTAGGGAACCGTTCCCAGGGCGATCAGGGGGTTGGCGGCAAAGGAGGAAACCGCCAAGCGGGAGGAAGGGGTCAAGGTCCCCCGCAAAACCGGTCTGGGAATAGGTCCCCTTATAGGAGAAGTGGTTGGCACCCAGGGCTGCCACAAGGCAGGCCTTGGGAGGATCTGGGCCTGGACCAGCGCTTATGGCAACAGTGTGTGAACCAGGGGCAGTGCATCTACTGCGGTGACCCTGGCCACATCATCAAATACTGTCCGAAGTATAGAGAGGCCCGTTCGGCTGCACAAGAAGCAAAAGGCAGCCGCCAGTAGGGGTAGCAACTGCCTCTACCATAGGGCCTTGTGGAGATGAGTTAGCAAGCCGGCACGAATCTCCCAAACCACATGAGCCCATGGCAGAAGTTGCAGGCCGGTGCCTAGATAGCTGCCCAGAGACTGTGTGTGTTAGAGTCTCTCTAGGCACTTCCCTCACAGGTGTGGCAGAGGAACTGAAGGAGAGAATGCCCGCTAGGGCCAAGATGAGGAAAGAGAATAGGGGGCAGCTCATATTAGCTGATATAGAGATTTTTAGAGGCCGAGTTGGCGCCTTAGTGGATAGTGGAGCCACTCGTAGTTATATCAGTAGGAAGGCGCTGCAGAAGCTGAAATTGCAGTTAAAGATCCAAAGACTAGCAGACCCCATAGTAAGTATCCTCGCGGACAATCGCACCATGTGAGTAGAGGAGTACGTAGAGGGAGTCCAGGCGTATTTCCGCCTAGAAAAGGATGGGAAGGTGGAGAAAGTTCTCCATTCCCTGACTCTCCTCGTAGAGGATAGCCTCCCGTTTGACATAGTCCTAGGTATGGACTGGGGAGAGGCAGCAGGGGCCACACTCCACTTGAGAAAGCATGAGTGTAGGCTCCCTAGTCCATCAGGCGGTGTTAAGACTGCCCATTTGTTCCATGCCTCAGGAGTAGACAACTCCCTGGCGCATTGCTGCCTTAGCGCTTCTGCGTTCGCAAGATTAGTGAAAAGGGAGCAGCTAGAGGAACAAGTTTTTGTAGCCTATGTTAGGCCAGTTGTTGAGCCTAAGGAAGAGAAGCTTATAGACCCTGGTGTTGCCAAGCTGCTGGAAGAATTCACTGACTTAGTGAAGCCGCCGATAGGAGTAGTACCGCGGCCAATCTAGCATCGTATTGAGATTGAGCCTGGCAGTAGGACCCCCAAGGGAGCAGTGTATAGGATGTCCCCACGGGAGTTGGAGGAGCTGCGCAAGCAGTTAGATGAGCTCCTAGAGAAGGGTTGGATTAGGCCCAGTTCGTCTCCATTTGGAGCAGCTGTTTTGTTTGTCCCCAAGAAGGAGGGAATAGACTATAGGGGTCTGAACGCTATCACAGTTAAGAATGCTGAGCCACTGCCCAGGATAGATGATCTTTTAGATCGGGTGTAGGGGTGCAGATATTTTTCAAAGATAGATTTGAAGTCCGGATATCATCAGATAAAGGTTCATCCTGATGATCAGTACAAGACAGCTTTCCGGACGAGGTACGGGCACTACGAGTTCATCGTGATGCCCTTTGGACTAACCAACGCGCCAACGACTTTTCAGCGATGCATGAACGACCTGTTTAGGCCTTGGTTAGATAGGTTTGTTGTAGTTTACCTGGATGATATCTTAGTGTTTAGTAAGACCCTCCAAGAGCATCAGGGTCATCTCAGGCAGGTCTTGGAGAAGCTGAGAGAAGCTAACTTCAAGATCAACACAAAGAAGTGCGAATGGCCAAAGACCCAAGTTTTGTATTTGGGCCACGTCTTAGACGGAGACGGCATCAAGCCAGAGGATAGTAAGATTGCAGCGATCAGGGATTGGCCTACACCGCGTACGTTGACAGAGTTGCGGTCATTCTTAGGCCTAGCGAACTATTATAGGAAGTTCGTAAGGAACTTCTCCACTATCACTGCGCCACTTCGCAGATTGCTAAGGAAATAAACCATCTGGAAGTGGGATAAGGACTGCACGTCTGCTATGAAGAAGCTGAAGCAGACACTAATAGAGTATCCAGTCCTTAAGGTGGCCGATCCGTCCTTACCCTTTGTCGTCACTACGGACGCCAGTCCGTACGACATAGGTGTTGTTCTGCAGCAAGACGATGGCAATGGTTATAGACCCGTAGAGTTCATGTCTGCCAGGATGCCTTCAGAGAAGGTAGCGACATCTACCTACGAGAGGGAACTCTACGCTCTCAGGCAAGCGTTAGACCATTGGAAGCACTACTTGCTTGGGAGGCACTTCAAGGTCTATTCAGACCACGAGACATTGAGGTGGTTGAAGACGCAGGCCAAGATGACACCTAAGCTTACTAGGTGGGCCGCAGAGATAGACCAGTATGATTTTGAGCTCAAGCCAGTCAAGGGGAAATATAATGTAGTTGCGGACGCTCTGAGTAGGAGAGCTGACTACTTTGGAGCGATAGTCCACTATCTGGACATAGGGAGGGACCTGCAGGAGAGGGTTAAAGAGGCGTATGCGCAGGACCCTATTTATAGTGACCTCCTCAAGAAAGTAAAGGAGGCCCCAGAGACTGAGCCCGATTACTGCACTACTGACGGACTGTTATTTGAGAAGACTAACGTAGTTGACCGTCTGTGCATTCCCAATAGTGAGGAGATCCGTAGTCTGATCTTAGGAGAATGTCACGATACAGAGGGTCATTTTGGTTGGCAAAAGACTCTAGCCAATCTAATGCACGTGTACACCTGGCCAGGAATGAAGAATGACTGCATAGAGTATGTCCGCAGTTGTAAAGTTTGCCAGCGGAATAAGACTATTACGCGTGCCCCACTAGGTCTTCTCAGACCCTTGCCTATTCCCGATCAGCCAGGAGATTCGGTGTCCATTGACTTCATGGACGCTGGCGTCAAGAGTAGGCATGGCAAGAGCCAAGTCATGGTGATAGTCGATAGATTTAGCAAGTATGCTGTTTTTATACCTTTGCCTTCAGAGGCACGGACCGAGTTAGTGATCCGTAAGTTCTTTGAACATTGGGTCAGTGAGCACGGGGTCCCATTGTCCATAGTTAGTGATAGAGACACCCGGTTCACGATTCAGAACTGGCAGGAGTTGATGAGAGTCTATGGCTCTAAGTTGCTAATGTCGTCTGGCTGTCATCTAGAGACCAACGGTCAGACTGAACAGATGAATAAGATCCTGCAGCAAGTTTGAGGATGTACATTAGACCAGATCAAGTTGATTGGGACGAGATGCTCCCCAAGGTAGCCAATGCCTACAACAATAGTGTGCATTTGTCTACATGTCGCACTCCCAACGAACTGCACAAGTCCTTTAGACCGCGCAGACCATTTGAAGGACTTAACCGGGATCAGATTCATAGGCTACCGCCCGGTACTAGGGAGTTCGCTATACAGCACGAGAAGGAATTAGCTACTGTTGTAGAGAACCTCAGGAAGGCCCAGCATAGAATGATAGAACAAGCCATCAAACATCGTCGCCCCTCACAGTTCCAAGTAGGCGACTTAGTCTGGGTCAAGGCTGAAAAGTTTGCTCCTGAGGAGAACATCTCGCAAAAGTTACTGCCTGCGTACAGAGGACCGTGGCCCGTTCTAGAAGTCAAGGGCGGAGAAGATGGGCAGTCCTACACCATCGAGATTCCAGTACACCTCCACACCTACCCAGTTTTCCATGCGTCAAAGTTGTTGCCATGCACAGTAAGTGACCAGTTTCCATCTAGACGATCCATAATCCCTCCAGACATGGATGGGAGGTACGACATTGACCGCATTGTAGGTGAAGACGTGTTTAAAACAGGAGGTAGAGGTTGTCCTCAAAAACAGTATAAAGTCAGATTTGCATATCAGGAACCAGAAGACGACCGGTGGTTCACCAGAACTGAACTTCTAGAAACAGCTCCCGACATAGTCCGAGCCTACGAGAGGGATAAAAAAGGTAAAGGTCCTGCCTTGGACTGAAGCATTCTCGGAGGACCTCGAATTTAGGCCGGCGGGAGTGAAACGGTATTCACCAGTTCGCAGTAGCTGACGCCGATCCCAGGGTTCGATCCCTAGCCCTTACCTTACCTGTGTACAGTATCTGTGTAGCCCCCGAGAATTGAACCCGCGACCTGTGTGTTTCGTAGCAGTTGGTAGGTCGTCGTAGGTTCCGTAGATCGTCGGGGTTYGATCTRTAGACCTGTTCAGTAGGAGTCCAGCCAGGTCTACAAGTCGTAGCTGTAGGCTTCTGGAAGAGTCAAGGTCGTAGCTACTCCAGTCCTGAAGAGTCAAGGTCGTAGCTGCGACAGGACCGAAAGGCCAAGTCCACGGCCTTCTAGAAGGGCCCGGTGGTGGCCTTTCGAGGTTGCCCACGTTTAGGCAGAGGCAAGCGGGCAAGCGGGCAAGTGGTGGAAGTCCACCGTGCAGAGTCAGCAGTCCCAGTCCAGTCAGTCCGGTCCAGTCAAGCAAGTACCGCCTGGGACTGTGTGCACCGTGGGCCAGGGACAAGGGGCAGACCGACGAGTCACAGAAGTATAAATCAAGAGGTCGCGCACAGCCATTCATTCATTCCTGCGGAAGCCATGCGGAAGCGCTGTCTCAGCGGCTTGTGCGAGGAGTCTGCAGTGACGCCCGAAGTCGAAGTGGGCGAGAGAGACGAAGCGCAGCCATAGCGATAGGGTAGAGGCAGCCATCGCTGCCATAGCTGTAGTTTAGAGTGAAGTGTGTGTGTGTTGTGTGAGTGTTCAGAGTGGTGCGTGTGGGATATCCAGGGTGATCCGGTGTATGTGAACAGTGAGTTGTGGGCGCTGAGTCGCCATGGCCAGTGGAAGTGAACTCTTATCTGGATGCCAGATCTCTGAGTTCTGAGTGGGCGCATGTCGCCAGTTTGCTGCGATGCTGTTTACATGCATGAAAAGTGTGAATGAGACGAGTCTGATTGCACGTATGAGCATCATGAAGAGAACAGATAAAATATAAGCTGAAGATCTGAGAAGAAATGAACAGGAATTAGAGGAATATACCTCCGCCTTTGCTCTGCCTCCTTTCATAGTGTGGAAGTGGGCCATTATGGCACTCGGGGATGTGGGCAGCTCGCCTTGTGCATGAGAGGCACGGTAAATTGCGATCTGCAACAACAAATGAAAGGGGTGCCCCAAAGAAAGCAAACGTGAACACAATCAAGAAAGGGGTTTACATGCCTCTACTGTGCTTCGTGTTGCTTGCTATAGAGGTGAAACTGTTTCATTTTTGGATTGTCTCAACTCTAGGGCTTCTGTTGTCTGTAATAGGATTGAATATGCTTTAATTTTGAATCTGCTCATCTGGCTGGAATAGGGGCTGTTGTGGTGAAAATTCAAAATACACACACACACACACACACACACACACACACACACACACACACACACACATAGGCATGGATCCGAACATTCGGGCATATGTCTTACATTGTCCAGGTCATTTCAGTGCCCTTACCTTTGCGGATAATTCATGGACCCAATGGGACAATGGTGGCAGGGTGCACACAGCGGGATATATTAACTCTTTCTATCACCAAATGGTGGAGGATCACCCATTCTGGCTCGTCCATCAGGAACAGTATGTCGATGAGCAATTGCAAGCACTGCACCCCCCGGAGAGCAATCCGGCTGATTCTGCCACAAACAGTGAAGGGACCTCTCCAGAGGATGGTGGTTGTGCCCTCCCTTTGTGCCGTCGAACAGGTACAGTTCGGTTGGGATGTACACAGCATAGCCTCTGCTCCGAACACTATGAAGGGATGGTCACTGCTAGCCTCTCCCACGAAAACTGTGATCCCCTATCTTTTGCTTATCCCCCCCATCCCCTGATTACCTGCCCAGCATGCCGTTGTGGCCTTGATCTGCCATGCTAAATAACTGTGCACGTCAGCCTTCCATACTGATGACATGTCAGCAACATGCCATAGGTCGTCAGTGTTTCCAGGAAGCTGTCATAGAAAGTAGGTGTCTTTACTGAGTGGACTATCCTCGGTGCCATCATCCTCCACAGCCTCTCCTAGCACACATGCGGTGTTGGTCATACACCTATGGCAACCGCAGACGGATCTCCCTCTTCCTTGCCAGATGAACGACAGACACAGCAGCCCGAGGAGGAAAATGGACTTCTACATGAACCATTTGCAGAGCGAAGTGCTGATAGTTTATCACTACCAGGACGAGCTGTTGCGGACCAAATCCTGCAGTAGCTGAACACCCTTGCTTTGGACCGATCCTCCCTGTTGTCATCTGTCCATAGAGAAGGAATAAATAGTGAGGAAAC